GATAAAATATATCAACAAACAGAATGAGTAATACATTTGAAATCGAAACATTTCGACAGTTTCTACACACATATAAACTCAGTAGTGGATGCAATCCAATTCACTTTCGAGGTAGAAAATAAAAAAAGAGAATTACCTATGTTGGATTGAAGAATATAATGAAGGAGAGATGATGGTTTAGATACTACCATCTACAAGAAACCGACACATTTCAACCGGTATCTAGACTTTAGGTTATCTCATCCAATGTCAGTTAAGGCAGGTCTAGTCTTATGTTTCATTGATAGAGCTACAATACCGATTAGTTGGTGCAAGGACATAAACAAGGAACTGAAGCACATAAAAGAAGCACGAATAGTTAACAAGGAAATGGAGATGGATTAGGCATGCACTGAAAAGACCATTTAGGGACATTACGTTCCACTAACAGTTCAATTATTAAAACGTCATTCTAGGGCTTGCTTGGATAGTGATCGCTCGAGGCAACTACCTGTTTTCGTTTAGGCATCTGGAAAGTTATACTGTCCAAAGTGAGGCATACTCTGAGATATATTCATCAAAGTGATATAATAAACCATGATCTGTGAGGTCAGTGAAGTTCGATATACAGACAATAAGTCACCGATTAAATTGAGATAGGGTAAATTGATCGACTTAAGAAATCCGATCTGGTGGGTCTGAACACAGTGACTGAATGTTAACACCTCTGACGAGATGTTAAAACCACGGACTGGACCACTGATTTGACTGTAGTTGGGGTTCTAATAATACGCAAACGAGGTAATTATTATTACTATTTTTCCCTTGAGTTCCTAGTGGAACATAGGGCTTCAGTAGTACGCCTCCATTGCACTCTCTTCTCTGCAGTCTTCAAAACCTGGCACCACGAATGCCCAAAACCTTTCATTTCTTCCTCACATGGTTTCCTCCATGTCACCCTCAGCTCGGACGCCCAACTCGTCGTTTCCCCTTTGGATTCCACTCGACGGCCTGGCGCGTAATGTCCCTAGTCGACCTTCTCAGTGTATGCCCAATCCATCTCCACTTTCTTCTGCATATTTGTTGCGTGATAGGTTTTTGGTTGGTTCGTTCCCAGAACGAGATAATAACGCAACGAAATACTTGGACTGGATATGAGTAATACGACTGTCCTCTCCCCACACTCTATACTTCATTGAACCGCAAATATCAGAAGATACAAAACGGCCTGTGTCTGCGGAATAAAAACGAGTCTATTAGACAAATACACGGTACACATATATCTACAAACTCTTAGAAAATGAAGCCATAAATGAACCAATCCGGTTTGTTGTATGACGTCGAATTTGTCCAGTCAGGTGTCCAATGTCAGTGCATGCATAAATCATGATCTGGAAACAATTTCTCTATTGGCTGCCTTATTGCCACTACATCAATCTCCAATAAAATAGAATACTTACCGGTCGTAAAGTAGGCTGAAACACCTGGTCAGTGCTCTACGTCCTTCAACGGTTTTGCAGCTTGGATAGGTCAGTCACGAATATTTTTCAATACTAGATCTTCAAGTCCTATTGTAGTGGGTGCTACTGGTAAGAACGGATATAAATAGTATATGTTGAGAAGTCGGAAGAAGCCATAGGTAATTACAAGCGATGGGTAAATATTCTGCAGACGAACCAGTGTTTCAGCTACCCTCGGCATAGCACAGGGTTTCAGTTTCGTTATGATATTTAACTCTCGGAAAACGACACAGAATGTATTTTCTTCTTCCAGTTATGCACCTCTGGTGACCACTGCAGCTACTGCTGTACCCATTAGCTGTCTGTTGACCTTGGGCAGCTCACTAATATCCACGGGTTGGGCTGCTTTTACTAGTCGTAGCTGCTGGGCAATGGCATTCGGGACATTTTCGGTGAACTGTAGAGCCAGCAACTGTGCGTGGGAGTCATCCAAAGTGAGAAGTGCTCGTCGAAGAGGATTTGTCAACTTCAAGGCCCTTACCGGCAGATCTTCGTCTATTCCAAGTTTCGTGCTCCTGAACTGCTGGATCACCAGCTCCCTGTCCGCCAGGCTGTCAAACTCTGCCTCTAGTAGTTCAACCACCCTCTCCCATCCCCGTATTCCACGCTGTCATACGCCACTTTCGCTTTACCCGTCAGCAACGTGCCAAGCACCACCTTATTCGCTCCTGGATCTCGGACACCCATCATCCCCACGACCGACTCAAAGTCCTTTGATGTCTCCATCCTCGAACACTGCAGGTCACGGAATCTTCATCACGTCAGGAGCAACGACACCAATTTACATAAAACAGTAAAGGATGAAACACAGATGAATGTTTATTATGACACTTTTTACATTACTGATGAAATATTAAAACCTTTCCAATGAAATATTCGTTTGCAAAATATGTTTCATTTCCTCTACTTCTATCTCGTTTTGCTCTTCATTCGCCTACATGGTGTCTTGCTTTTCTCTGAGCAGAATAATTACCCTTCACTCGTAATTACCTATGACTACTCCTGACCTCTCAGTATATACTACTTATATTCCTTCTTATTAGTAGTGCTCACTACACTATTGTTTGTAATTATTTTCTTTTGTTATGATTCCACTTCATCTTGTCAAGTAATTTCGCGGGAAAAGTATGGAAACCAATGGTTGTTCTTCTCTATATTACCTGTCCTGATAAATTGACTAACCCTGATCAGCTGATTCAACCAAATTTATCACCAATACATCTATTGCGTGGTATTCCGTCTAATCATAAGTTTGTGGATAAACTATAGTGAGATGCAATTGAAAAGTAATGTTTTAGGTGTCATTTCCTTTAGTTAGATTTTCCGGCAAGCCAAATAGATTCATGGTTCGATTATGTAAAGAATGTCGGCGTAGATACACTGATACTCACAATCCAACCAAGTACCACAGAAAGAACAACAAAAATCCAGCTAATAAGTCTGAAATAGGACGAAACGCCAGTCTCGAATTCCAATGCTAGTCACCAGGATGAATATAATATCATGAATATCCGGCAGTATCAAGGAATCCTTATAGGAGACCATATCCCAGCAGAGTTCGAGCAATCCAACCCCGTACAGCAACAGGACACTACAAGTATCATAACAATAACTGATACCTGTTGTACAAGAGGTGACTGTAGTGCCCCAGTGGATAATGACGTGGTGTTTGAAGTGATGGCTCCTGGGTTCAATTCTCAAGACTTCTTGCTCGGTTTGCCCTATGTAACTACAACTACTTGATGGTGCAGCTTGATCCAAGCATGCCTGAAGGAGTTCGGCCGACACCACTTTCCATAAAATCTAGACTACAGTTGGCGGGAGAGAGGAAACGAATACTACGAGCAGACACTGAGAGATCTACAAATTCCTTAAACTTGATATGAATAGTTCAGAATTGCTAATAAGGCTTGACAAAACCGCTTGACCAGATGACTGAGGACAGAAGAATATGAGTCAATCAGTTGAAAAAAGGCAGACAAGTGTCCAAATCTTAGGACCACGGTAGGAAACGGCCTAATTGGGAATCAACAATTTAAGTTATCTATTTCAATTTTTGCTTCATGTCACTGTGTGGTCAGGAAGTATCTCATTGGACAATTTTGTTCTGCAGTTGACCAATCAGATACACCTATTTAACTTTTGACGTAGTCGTTTTATATGTTCATGAAAACTATATAAATGGTGTGTTATTGTCGAATAAAGTCTTGCAGCGACTGGTTAGTCTTTGTTTCTGGATATAGGTCGCCGCAGCACAAGGTACTGAGGGAGAACAGAGTATCCATTTCGTATACAGTCCAAGTGTCTCATTGAATTACTATCGTCCGCGTATTTCTTATCTCAATTTGTCATTTCAGACCATTTAAATAGTCGAAAGGTGGCTAATTGTAATTACTCCACTTAGTTTTTTGTCGACGTGTTTACTTTAACTTATTATACCAGTGTTTTTGCCTACTGAATCTGTAAGTAGTAATGTCAGGTTGTACAGCGCTTGCAACAATAATTTCTATAGTGTTAGCAAAGCCTTTCAAAGACGAGTAATAATCAACAACTCGTTTGTAATCAAGTAATATATCTCCTATTTCAATATCTTCTTGTGTTGGTTAAGGCTCTACGCTCGAATTCATAAACCAGTGTATGTTCAGTTACAAAGAAATACATCATCTCAGATAATCATATATGCGCCACCTTCCATCCTTACCTTTTATATCCGGTTTTTTCGCTATATAAATTACTATTGAATATAACCTTATGTGCCATGGAACTCCTAAGGGTTGATTTACTATCCAAAAAGAGTCGCGCTAACTTGTCAGTATTCACAAAAGCACCGTCAAGCTCGATGAAATCTGACTGAACCGAGAAATAAGAACTAATTCATACAATCCCTGGCTGTCTGTTCTCTGTCATATGGGTTGAGTTTCTTGAGATGATACAATGAATGAAAGGAGAATGTTAGTGATGTGACCTTGTGAATTGCTAACACCTTTACTAGTCTCCATCTACTTATTGCATCTCCTGGCATACACTGTTCCCCAATTAAATGTTATTCTTTTTCGATCCAACATCTTTTTGTGTATAGTGATGTAGAATCTGGGAAAAATATAGCAAGACGCCTACGTAGATAGATCCTAAGTCGTTTAACAAAGATTCACGTTGGCGTGATTGTAAAATATCAGGTGTACGACGTATCTGTTGCAGGCAGTTGTGATCGGCACCGGTGTAACCTGACACCTTCCAGCTGAGAATATCTGACAACTCCATGTGTGTGTTGATCACTACAGTCTTCATATAATTGCCGGATCTTTTGCGTAGATCTTAAGTCCTACAGTTTCAGAAACAATCCACTTCGGTGAAGACAAATCTTATACCTGTCAGTTGGTTGGAGGCAATCAGCAGGAAATGCTACTTGATCTAGGTTTTGTCAGCTAGGCGCACTCGTAACTTCGAGGGAAGTGATGTCCTCTATGGGATTAGAACCTACCTCACCTAGTGTTGTAGTCAGCAGCGTTAGTACTGGGCTATTCGCACCGCGACTGATCTCCTGTAGGACTGGATTGCTCACTGGAGGATAACCAATTCCAAGTTTTACCTTGAAATCCTGTAAGTACTTGATAACAATACAAGGTGGGGATCCATTCCGGAGAACATCACCCTCTAACTTTTGAGTGAAAATCGCCAACACTTCATTGTAAAGAATTTATTAGTATTATTATTATCATTATCACGAAAGGTTTTCCCGAACGTGATACTCAGAGTGTATTTGTGTCGGTGTATGTGCGTGCGTGCATGAGTGTTTAGAACAATTGCTTTCGGAACTACAAAGTGAGAGAAACAGAGGGCAAACATTCCTTGACTACATAATCGTCATCATTAGGTAGGTAGATAACTGGATAACACACACAACTTGGTCATTGAATCAAAAATAGCAGTTATATATGGATTATTAAACAAAAGAGAAGAGCATAGGCATCATAGAAAAAAAGGAGATTGTTCACCTTGTTTCTTCTTTATTTCAACCATAAAACATATGTGTAATTAGAATTAATTGCCTGTCATTCATCGGATAGAATAGGCGCACATCCATCATTCCATAAAAAAAAGTAGCAACTGTAGATCGCAGTCATTAAACGCATCAACACACTGATTCAGATAACAAAAGACAAATGTAAGTCAAACAGATGGAAAATCTGACCGATTTACAAGACAGAACACATTCCATACAAGATTAAATGCATTCATCTATTAGTCTCTGTTCAGCTTTCTTTTCATCTTCTCATCGAAACGGAAGGTGAACAAAACGCATTTCAAAAAAAGCCTCATATGATGAAAAGAGACAGATAAACGCAATGAGAGATGGACGAAAATATGTGTTTACCAATCGATAGAAAAATAGGAATAATAATAATTGTGTCTGTGTAGGAAAAACAAAGGTGACTCGATTGCTATGACTATATCCGTTTGTCTTTTTAATTAACTTCCCGATAGTTAAAGGAATGTGTAATGACATTAAGTAAGTAACCAAAGTGGTCACAAAAAAAGTTAAGAATTTCATAGGTAGAGGAAAAATCTGTATTAATAATCAAACTACTCATAATAATTGTAAGTAGTAACAATCAATGTGTGGAATATATATGCCTTATAATACCATGAAGTAGTCCCGCAAAAAAAATGCACATTGTAACATAAGAGAGGAATTGTTTTCATACTCTAACCAAAGAAGGAATGATTTTGTTAGCACAATGAATGACACTGAGTGTGTTATGCATGCGCGCTGAGAAGTAAGTAATCTTTGAATAAAAACAGATTAGTGGTGAGAAAATATATCGAGGCAGCTAACGCCTAGAGGAACCAACGCCGAAGTAAACTCTGTGTGTGTGTGTTTCATAAAAGGATAACAGTAGAATGACATGTGTTCTAGGTAAACAGAGAAAAGGGAAACCAACCCGATACACCAATCGATCAATTCGTTACGAAACATGGGAGTGGTCAATGTTGCTGCGTCTGTTTGCAGATGCATAATAGTCAGTAGGAAAAAAAAGTAAACAAAACAATGGGGATGATGGGGATTGTAATGAGTAGAGAAGTGAGGGAGGACGGAAAAAAAAGGTGGAGAATACCAGAAATGACCCAAATACAGCAGCTTATTCAATCGTTTCTAGGAAGGTTGGTTGACTATATGGAAGAAAGGGGTGAGGGAGAACGGACCAGAGATGACAAGAACACAAACTGGAAGAAGACATAGACAAGGAAAGAGAGTACTGTATCATGTCAAGAGGCCAACAATACATAGGGTGGTGGATCTGTAGAATATACTAGCAATCATCATAACAATCGACTACTTTATTATATACCAATGTGTAGATGGAATTTTTCAGTATTCTTTTCATTACTATCAACATTATAATATCAGTTCAGTTCATCATAAGTAGATGGATTGTTGTTTGTTTGTTTTTGTATAATAAAGAAAGCAGTACACTGTCAATATAGGCTTGCATGTTTTGTTAATTTATTGTCAAAATGTCTAGTTTCTTGAAAGAAAAGAAAATTTAACTTCTCACGAAGAACTAATGAATGCCTATCTTCAGAAAGAAAGAACGAAAAAGATGATGAAATGAAGTATGGAAGGAGTGAACGAGAAATCAAAGGTTGGAAGAATAGCGCTGCAAGCCAAGCATGATGAAACAGAGATGAGAATATAATCTGAGTATGAGTAGTAAGAGATTGGTATTGTTGTTGATGGCGGTAGCTAATACATACCGCCTCTCCCGTTCACATCATACAGCAGGTACCGGAGCCACAGAGACTGTTTCAGTAGGGTTTACGACTATCTAAAAGAACAGAGAAATACACATATATAAAACATAAGCGACAATGACGATTGATAGATATACGAACAAAAGGCTTTATATCTTAATGTTTACACCAACATAAACACACATACACGTAACAGGTCGGAGGTTAACAAACAGGTTAGCAAAAAAATGATTGTTTGTTTGCTTATCTTGTGAACAACAACATCATGAATCACGACGTTTGACGACTAACACCACCACCTGGGTCGCAGTCACACAGTACCAAGATAAATGATGCATATAATTAAAAAACACATAAAATACATGCAAACAATCAAACTAAACAGATTACACATGCAACATTAAGTGAGTCGTCTTATTTCACATACACACAAACTGATTGGATGATGAACCAACAGTGGCCAAAGTACTCTTATGCGTGATATAGCAAGTATGTACTTGTAATAAACAGTTGGAGTCTTTCAACATCTGTTAGATGTATATGTTGACCAGAAAAGGAGAGAAAGAAAAAGAGAGAAGTGTAACGTGAGTCATACTACGGAGGAGTTGTGTCAGCGCATAAATACCCCTACAGTTTATTCTGATTAGTAAAGTTTTTATATCGATGATCAGGTTATTCGACCCCACTATCACAGCCACCTCCACCACGTGGCGAGTAGAAACGATAATCTTGATAGCACAGATTGTATTGGATATCTTGAAATGTCCTACTAATGTTTAGATTACTATTCCACACCTGATGAGTACTTACAACTGTATCTTACATACATACATACATCTACAATATGTCAGACTATGTCCATGAATGCATTGGCAATCGACATACCAGCTGTAATAGAACCCACTCGATAGATAACCATTTCTTCCGCTCTGATCAGATTAGGCGAAAATGCATACAGAGACATCTAGCAGGTGTATAACTCGTACAAAATGCGAATATGTTACTTGTTTACTTACTTTAGTCGGGTTAGACAACGAAAGGTCAATATCTTTGAGAAACCAATACGTCATAGTCATACCCTCCTCTTTTTAAGGTCAAGATACATAGGAACTCAGTGTACGAAATTCCCTATTACCATGTCAGATTACTGGAAAATGTTAGGAGTTGTGGAGCATTTGCTTAAGTAAGCACCAGGCTCATAAATAATCAGCTCTGAGTTCGAATTCTGGCCTAAGAATTGTGTACACCTTTTCTAGACTGCAAAAATAAACTACCCGTTTAACAATAATTAAAAAAAAAAGACTAGGGGGCCAAAGAACGCTGAGTAAGTGGGCAGGCGGGTGGGAGTGAAAACCAACTCTTTTGGCATAAAAGTACTATACTAGAATGGTGCCCCCCCCCGCTGCCAGTAAGTCAAACATTACCAACAGAAAAGAAAGACAAAATAGGATAGGTTATGAATATATATGAAGTGAGATTGGCGTAAAGACTAGTAGGGAGAGAGAATAATCATTACACTGGTTGGTAGGGCAGACTACGACAAGGACCTTCCGCACTTTAACTATCGTCTCCTAACAATATATCGTGTGTAGTGAAAATAGTAACGCCTTACTACTTGAATTAGAAGAGAGACGAGGATCTGACTTGGAATCTAATCTGCTACTTCATCGAACAGTCTCCGCTGAACGACTAAGTATCACACACTTTAATATACAAACAGACAGAAGAATATTGACACAGACGGTGTTTATACCCTCCTACAGTGAATGCATAGAATAAACAAGTAAGCGAATCACACTAACACACACACACACACACAAACATACGCACATAGAGGGAGATCACCAGACAAACGTAATGATGTCACAATCATGAGCGATAAATAATAGATAGCCACACAATAGCGAATGGAGGTGTAGCTGAGAGTTAGATAGACGATAGACTGATAGATATAGGGGAATAGTCATAGACACACAGACAAACCGAAACTTGATGAGCTTCATTTATCGACGACAGTATACACATACACACGCACAATTATTACGATCTATGAACACGAATAGTTTACACACGCACACATATTCAAGCAGCAACCGATAACACGAACGACTAGATGACACCAAAATTTACAGATAGCTTCTAGCATTTGTATGTGCGTGCGTGCGTGTTTGCTTGCTTCAATGTGTAACTGTAGCGCTGACATTTTCACACTATTACTTATTTACCTCAGAGTATAAAGTATCCTGAGGTGGAAGAGTCAGCTCCGCCTCTTGTGCTTGTCCTGTATGCACGTCACCCGAAGATTTTGCGGCGTTCGATGATGAAGTTGATGATGTGTTGTTACCACCTACAGTCACACATCCACAGCATATCAACACATTAGTATACATAAATCAGGGGCGATGCGTTTAAAATAGCAATAATAGTTCATTACATACAGAATACTAAGAAAAATACAGTTATATAGTGAGAACAGAAACTATACTACTCAATTATAAAATAAGTAGTTTGAGACCAATCGAAACCATTTCGGTGGCAAATTGTTATATGAACAATTCAGGTCAATCATTTTCATGCGTTAACCATAGGAACGATAACACTGTGTTGATTAACATGAAAAACTTAATAAAAGACGCAACTAGCTCACCTTTAGGTCGTTTCAACTGAACTTTCAACCGTTTCATACCGATTTGAAAACCGTTCATCGCTTGAATTGCAGTCTGAGCACTGGTATGATTATCAAAACTGACAAAACCTATGCAACAAAGTGGGGAGAGATGAAAATGAAATCTTATCAAAATTCTGCACTAATTTTGAGCAAGAAGAAAACAGAAAATATGGCCAACTGGTTGAAAAAAATTCAAGTGGTTGAAAAATCACCTGTATATTCAACTAGTTTTGAGGTGAGAATTACATATAATCACTTATTAGACAACATTGATAGATAAAGGGGGTTAAAAGATTCAATTAAGAAGTTATCAACCACATTTCATAAGAAACAAGTTAGCTATTCCTATAGTGTCAGTTGTTAGGGACACCGTATAAAAATAATGAAGGGTCATATTAGAACAAAATAATCCACCAGCTATTTTTGTACACGATAAATTCAACAGTTCCCAGTAGAAGAATTACTGAAAAAGTAGATTAAATGTCCATAATTATAACTGCGTGGAACTCAGTATCTGTTCTATATGACATCGGATTAGAAGTCGGTTGAATCTTGTACGTCACCATTTGGCAGATCTCGCTACAGGAAACATCGTCTATGGTGGCTTGTTTGAATTCTATCGTGGCCCAGATTCCTATCTCACCTTCAACCATCACCAAGTGTACACACTAAATTATCAACTATCACATAACAGATGTGTTGGTCTATTGATTATTGTACAAATCTGTACATTATTGCTAGGAAAGACTTCTGATAACTCAACATTTAAGGTTATTCAAGTTGATGAATCACAATCACCATCAATGGGAGAAACTTAAAGGAAGTAGTCTCCTTCACCTATCTAGGAAGCACTGTTTCAACTACACGCAGCGGCACTGAAGAGAACGTCAAAGCCAAGATCGGTTAAGTAAGACAGGCGTTCATTAACCTGAAACCAGTGTGGAGATCTTCTACACTGCACTCAGCATGTGGGACAAGATCTGGATTTTCAACAGTAATTCGGTCAAGTCAGTGCTTCTGTATGGCTCAGATACTTGGTGCGTTACGAAAAGGACTTCCAAAAAACTACAGACACACATCATCATCAGCTGCCTACTGTGGCTCGTTACTGAAGATCAGATAGCTAGAATAATGAGAATAAGCAACAAGGAACTCTGGCTGGCTGCCAACGAACCAACCAAGAAGCCATCGCTCAACAAATACGCAGAAGGAAGTGGAGATGGATTGGAGTGGGCATACACTGAGAAGACCATTCGGGGACACCACGTGTCAGGCCAGGCACTCGAGTGGAACCCCGATGGGAAACGACGACTTGGGCTTCCTAGGGTGGCATGGAGATGGTGTGAGGGAGAAATGAGAGCTTCTGGGCTGTTGTGGAGCTAGGTTCAAAAGATTTCAGAGAACAGAGTGGAATAGAGACGTACTACTGAAGCCCTATGTTCCACCAGGAACTCAGGGGAAAAATAATATTATTATTATTATACTAATAGTAGTAGTAGTAAGTAACCACCACTGAAAGGATTAATCTCTACAGCGAAAAACTCAAGTTAACCAGTTCAAGGAAAGATGATATAACCTACCAAAACATTTGCTTTGATTTGTCGCTCGATCAACATACACTTTAGCACTAATCACTGTACCAAACGGCATAAACATTTGAGCTAATTCATTATCTCCAAACTCTTGTGGTAGATGGTAAATAAATAAATTGCATCCTTCAGGACCTGTAAATAGTATAAAATTGAAGTGTTAAACGATCCATTCTATTCCAATTATTCACTAGTCTATCCTAAGATTATATGAAAGATGCCAGGGGTAGAAATAATGTTTCTTCGAAGGGAGGGTTATGATGAAACTAACATATTAACGGAGTGTAGTTGAGTGCATTAACAAATGTAATTACTAGAATAGTCAAACTACTCCCACGGGTCGATAGCCTATAATGGATATAAAAGGATAGCACATAGTTGCTACAGCAAGATACCTTAGTGATGTATTATTAAGGGTCAAGTATACTGCACTCCACCTTGTTATGTTCTACTAGATGACTGTGAAACAAGGTTATCAAGCGTGAAGGAAATGAAAAAGTTTCACGTCTTCGAACTACCCTTTACTTTGAAGACGTATACGCAACGATCGTGAACAGTGGTGGGCAGCGAAGGTTAAAGAGATGGAAAAGGCAGCGGCGATTGGTAACAGTAGACAGTTATTTACACTTATTAGGGAGACTGGGGGGAAAGGTCAACAACAGTTAGTGAGGCTATAGCAGAGAACGACGTATCTGCGATTCACTCGCAGGGGAAACGACTGGAATGATGGGCAGAACACTTCGAGGAGCAGTTTAACTGACCTCCAGCCACCATTACGTTGCCCGGTATACAGTCGGATCCTAAATGGAACATTGAGATAGGCCCGCCAACACTAGCAGAAGTTGAGAAAGCGGTAGGTAACCTGAAATGAGGAAGGGTGGCAGGACCAGACGGACTAACTCCAGAGGTATACAAGGATGGTGGTAATAAGGTGCTCTTAGATAGGTTAACGGAAGTGTTAACCAGTATATAGGAATCAAATACTGTCCCCACTGACTGGTCTGAGTCACCGATCATTCCAGTCTTCAAGAAAGGTGAGAGGAATCAACCTGACGAACATAGTGTCCAAGATCCTAGGTCCTATAATTCTCCGACGCCTGAGTGGAGCTCGGGAACAACAAGCCCGAGAAAACCAGGCAGGCAGGCTTTAGACCCGGCAGTGGGTGCATCGACCAAATATTCACACTGCCCCAGGTTTTGGAACATAGGTACGCTTACCGACGCTCAACACTAGCTGTATTTCTCGACCTCAAAGCTGCATTGGACTCCGTTGATCGAAGAGTTTTATGGCAATGTCTCTCACTGAAAGGCGTGCCGAGTAAGTACCATCACCTTATTGAAGGCTCTCTATTCCAACACTTATGAGCGAGTTAGAGCTTTTCTCTCTTTTCGTGCTTCATATTTGTTTTGACTAAATTTTCTCATCTTCAACTTGCACTTCACTGCCTTTTTACTTGGTGTACTGATATGAGATGAGGTGTGGCAAGTTGGACCGTTACGCAGTTTTTCCCTGGTCCTATGTTGATAGATGATGATAATGGTGATCCTTTCCTTTGTAATACTGCCCGTGTCGTGAATCCACCAGTTGTGTAACGTAGAAGTTGGATGAATAATTATATGCGAAAGCGGTAAGTTAGTCAGTTGAGTTATAAATCTTTATCATGTGAGGTGGGCTGGTTACGTATATCCAGTCCCTGACTAACCCTCAACCAATAACGTTAGCTAGTATAAGTACAGATTGCAAACCTGAAAATGTGATTAGAATAAAGATTATACTTTTCCATAAAGTCTCTGTGTGTTTGTGTAGGATAATATAGACTCCCATGCATGAAGTCCATATAGTAACAGAGGCCAAAGGTTTGAGACTCTAATTGATTTTGTCTATTTCATGGTTCACCTTAATTCATCTTTTTGACTTTTTACGATCTCTATTACTTGCATCCCCCTTTCTCGTATCATCTTGTATCTTTCTTTGAGGTATATGAAATGTGGTAACGTGTACCCTCAACCAACAAACACAAATAAAATCAGCGAAGACCGTCCTATAGAAGGGCATTGGTTCAAGTTATTATTAGTAGCATACAAACAACTAATCGACAAAAGAAGACTGATATATCAGAGTGAACAAAGGTGTATGAAAGTAAAAATATCATTTGAAAATGAAAAAGATGCCAAAAAGTGAATATACCTGCACTATTGTGGCTGGTTTTCAGTCATTTCATCAAGAACTCTTAACCATCGATTCTTTTCATCTCGAAGAATCCATCCACCCTATCACTTAACACCTTCGTACATAGCTCAGATCAACAGTCAGGGATTTCATCGACTGGTGTCACTTCTTGGTCTGGTCACCCTGAAACTTCTTTCAACTTCCCCTAGTATTGGACTTCAAGGTAGTTGATGGCTCGGTATGAGTAACACATGTCCAAGTCATCTCAGTCGACTTACCTGCTCAGTCTGTTACCCTTTTTCTGACCTAAACACAGAATCCACTATAAGCAAGCAACACTACAAAGATATCTGTGATCAAAAACTTGTAATCGCTTCATATCATCTACTTTTAACAACCCAATAATGTCAAGTCATCTTGCAGTCTAGATCTTGATATGTGAGGGTGGTTAACTGATGATACATAGAAAGACACAAATAACGTGGGACTAAGTAATAAATCACATTACCACATTATATCAGTACACTGCTATATAAACAACGAAAAGTGAACTAGTTAAAGATACGCATAGGAACCCATCGGCCAACAGAGGGTGAAGGAATCTGACCCCGTATAACAACGAGAAATTACAACTATCAAGACAACAACTGATACCCGTTGCACAAGAGGTGACTATCGTAACTAAGCGGCCTAGTGGGTAACGCTTCAGTGATTGAAGGAATGGGTACAACGCTCGAGTCTCAGCAGGAACAACACCACTCAATGAAGTGCAGGTACACCCAGCTGATGAACAAAAAGCAAGTAAACCGATCGAAGCCGTAGGATACAGCAGATACAGAAAATCAGATAGTAAGCAAGAAGCCTTCACTTTTCAACATAACTCAAACTAATAGTTATCGACTGCATAGACTGGAGCTACGATGGGTTAATTCGGTCACCCTTCGGATAGACATATTATAGACAACCGAAAAACTCAAACTAGAAAAAAAGCAGTAATCAAAATCCCTCAATTTGGAAGTTTTGAGGGATTTGTTTATTGGTTTCAGGTTGGTATTCATCATGGACAGGCATCAGTTGGAACAACACTGGAAACTTGAGGGCACTGGACAACTAGCCTTTTCGTCCTAGTATTGGACTCCTCAGCAGTACGCACCCGTGACCGTGCTCTTCGGGTTTCTAACCCAGGACCTTCAGGTTCAATGTCCACCACGTTACCATTGAGTCACTGAGTCGGAATCCAATGATCCATATCTCCTAATTCTGTCAGTTCACGATTTAGTATAGACTTCCATTCAATGTCATCGTTGAGTATCTGTCCTCATATCCAACTCGGTTGGTCCAACCCGTCACGACGTGTCATTAGAAATTCGGAAATCACCTCCTGGAGGGGAGATTATGAGGATCTACTGATTTTAAGTTGGTCACGGGACTTGAAGGTCTTGAGTTCGAGCCCTAGCGAGGTGGCAAACAGCTGCCCAGTGCTCTCAGGTTTCCTATGTCCCTCCAACTGATATCAGCCCATGACGAGTATAAACATGAAATAATCGGAATCTCGTTATCGACCACAACATTTATTAAAACTAGCGACAGCAACAACAAACGAAAGACAAAGAGAATTATTTAAGGCCTTAGGTAAACAGTTTTTAAATTGATTATTCGTATGCTTACGTAAATGTTTATCAACAACTTCCATCCTTAAGATAAGTCTTTGTTTTTTGAAGGCTATACTTTTTTCAAGATGAATTTAGAATTATTGATTTAATCAATGTGTAAATAACTAATTATTGCTTATCTTGACTAAGATGTAGTAACTCTCATTTCTTATCTGTTCTATTGATTTCACCTAAAAGGTTATCGATGAATTGTGGAACCACTTTTCCTTTTGGTTAGAGTTAGTGAATTCCATAGATCAACGTTTCAGTGTGTCCCAACTACTCAAGTTGTTCAGTAGTTCATAACACTTTTGTTTCGGAGATTACACCTTATGATCTGAGCTGAAGGATAGTTTCCAACGGAAACCCAGTGGACATCATAGTTGGGCCATTTAGAGAAAACAGTATCCACCTGTGAGAAGTATCAATGTGGACTGTGCTATTTTTTATTATGACATCCTATACTTCAGGGCCATCCGAATCAGATCTGGCTAACGAAATCTACAAATCTCAACGTGGTTAATTTCCAACTACTCTTTTTTCTCAGAAGTATATTTCACTGAGTGAATAACGTTCCTACTCAAATCATCGTACCAACCCTTTAACGGACAAATACAAAACAAATACCAAGCCCATTTATCTCACCTGTCAATATCAATTCCCTGGTGCCTTCTTTCTGCTGAACAGGCATAGATAATGCTTGATGATGCAAGTTAGGAAAGGGGGTATATGTGGCCCCTGCAGCAGGATAAGCTAAAAAATGTGGGTAACAAAAGAGGTGTAGAAAAGAAAAAATAAGTTTACGAAGAAAAATGATAAATTATGACTACACATATTGAAAAGTAACACAGAACAGAGAAATATATAGTTACCATCACAACAGTGAAACGTTGCAGGATCTGATGATAACACGTCTCATGTTCCCTCCGAAATGTAATCAAAAGCATTGTTATTCTAGCTTATGAAGTCTATTGGACTCCTTCTATGAGAGTATAAGTTTCAAGCGGCGAACACAAGTTTTTCAATTGTGAAGTAGGCATGTCGGGGGAAAACAACTCAACCAACGGAGTTTTCTTAGACCCTACAGATACAAACAAAGTTGATTCTTTAAGTCATTTACCAAAATGATGTCGTAGAGAATGAGCTTTAAATTTGTCCTATGCATCCGTTTTCCCTAGAACTGAATAATTGAGAGGCAGTCGAAAGGAAAATGAAAGCCACATTGAAATAGTCAACACCTTCAAAGCTACTTCATTGGATAACAATGTGAATCATCTTCATAGATTAATGGATAGACATTTACAGGCCTAGGAGTTATTTGAAATATCAGAGTAAATCATTCATGATACAACAGGATTTGGAGCTGCAACTCACACTTGCTGATATGCTTCACATGTAACATGTGAACCAAAAAAGTTTACTCTTCAAATGAACGATTTGATTTGGGACTGTACCCCGCACCTCTATCCCATCATACACTTCTCAAATAAAAGTCATCAAATGGTTAACGATTGATGATAAGACAGAAAACTACCATCAACTAACCTAAGCCATAAGCTTGAAGACCAGCATACAACTGATGCATAGGATCGTTAACAAACGACTGTCCTGAAGCTGAAATATATAAGTAAACAGAAAGAAAATAATAAAATCCTTATGAAATGAATAGAACTTTAAGACAAAAATCTATTCAAAACCTAATATATCTTTAGGCAAACAATGAACCAAAGGAAACCATCTTCACAAAATGGAATGATCATTGAAACCGAACACTTCTCAACGCCACCATCATAACCACTACCCTTTTTTATCGAAACTGTGTGCAAGAGTATACAGATTAAGTAGTGGAGTTGTAGTTCATTGGTGTAGGAAACGACTTCGAACCGATAGGTCACGGGTTGGAGTCCCGCCACTACCTACCGAGGTTTCAACAACTCTCATACATAATAAAGTTTAACTCCATTGCCTAATGCACAAAGTTGCTGAATTTTGCTTCCTAGTAACAGTTGACCGGTATAGTGTTAAGTGAGGTTCTAGTCTATTATATTACATAATGAAAATCTACTTGTTGCACATGGATAAATGAATTCCTATAGTTTACACGTTTCAGTACTAGCAAACTGTCAAGTCAGTAGAATGACTGACAAAAAAATACAATTACTGCTTTATTTATATGATTGCCAATTCTCTAGGGATTAATCATTCACTTTCGTTCATTGTTTACCTTTTTTTAAATCAAGGTTATATAATAACACGGTGTTGCATGTGCATAATGAGAAATAGGACTAATTGACTGACGCCACCCAACAATACGAAATGACGAACATGAAACAGCATTCATGGAGATCAAAAACTCTTTTAATATAGGGAGGTTTATGGGATTTAGTGAGGCAAAAATGGTGGCTGTAAGGATAAATACTCAACGATAACATTGGTTGATGGTTGCGCTATGTTATATACTGACAGAAGTTGGAAATATGAACTATACGACTCCGGCCCAGTGTCTCAATGGTAGTGTTGGCCATGGAACCTGAAGGTCCTGAGTTAGAACCCCGAAAAGCACGGTCATGGGTGCTCACTGCTGAGGAGTCCGATACTAGGACGAAAAAACTAGTTGTTCAGTGCTCTCAAGTTTCCAATGTTCCTCCAACTGATGTCCGTCAATGATGAATACCAACTTGAAATCAAAAACTCTGCCCCAGAAAAGTCTAGGATCAGAGAACGCCAAGACAACTATTAAATTCTTCAATACTCTAAATGAAGAATGTAAGTTTGCGCCATCCACTTTACAGAATATGTATCAGTTGTCAAGTTGATTGGATTCCTTACACCCTCCAAGTACCTCTCTCAGTAACTACGTAGAAATTCAGGTGTTTACCTGTACGTTGTACCTACAGTCTCGATAGTTGGTGTCCATTAAACCGCATCAATACGTCACTGATTTACAATACCACTGGATAAAACACGACAGAGTACAAATACTTGGTTACCTGGACAATTGCTAATAATCATAAAAAGTTCCCTTGAACATTTTTCATCATTAAGGTGTAAAATGACAAAACTAACCGGCAGCAGCAAGTGCTGCAGCATGTAATGCTGCTGCATTTTCTGTTAGATAGGAGTTCAGTGCAGCACTGGTTCCATGTGCCAAACCTGGAGATGGTGTTAATGATTGGGCGGCAGCAGCAGCAAAAGATGGATGTAGTTGAGGAAATTGTAATGGATTTGGATTCGTGTGACCTGCGGCTGCTGCTGCTGCTGCCGCTGAGTTCTGCAGAGCAACTGCAGCTGCATACAGACTTGCAGGATCATTCGTCAACCCCGAGGATAAAATAGATGGGCTAACAGTAGAAGGTGTAGATGTAACTGAAGTAATCATTCCTGGTGATGTAACTAGAATATTAGCAGCTCCTGTGGATGAAGCAACAGGGATTGGTTGACCTTGAGTCCCATTACCAATGCTGGCAAAACTTGAAGGTGATATTGTAGATGGTGATGCTGAAACAAGTAATCCAGAACCAATAGCATTGTTGAATTCGTTACCATTACAACCAATGGAAACACCACCTGCAGTTGTACTTTCCGGTAAAAAGGTTCCACCAACAGTCCCATTGGCGACTTGTGTGAGTGCAGCCAAAGTCGCCGGAGATAGAAGAGTAATGTCTGTCAACGGGAACAGTGAACCTACTGAGTAAAAATTAAAACAAGGGAAAGAAAAAGGTTAAAAAAATCTAACTAACTAACTAATGTATCACTTTAGGCATAAGCAGTGAAACAACAAAAGATGGTTTGCAAGTGAAGGTAGGCGGTGCCGGCTCGGTATGCGCAACACATGTCCAAACTACTTCAGCCACTAGAGGTTCATAACCTTATCGACTGCTCACCGTTCCATGTCCAGTACCCTTCGCCTAACCTCTACACTGCTAACACGGTGGTTCCACCATACACGAGAAATGCTACAAAGACAGTAACGGTCAAAACCTGTTGTCTCTACACATGTCTCAGGGCAGTATAATACAACAGCATGCTCATCCTTGTATACATAGTCGGATATCTCACCGGTCGGCGGTACAGATGATGCAAGTAGGGGAATTCCAAACGGACCTTCTGTACCCGGGCTAGGAATTAATCTGCAACCAATCCGTTAAGCAGGCTGATCCAACTCCCCAAGTAAATGGAGCGGTCAACACATTCCACCACTCCGCACCCTTAAACTGGGAGTAGTTGCAGATAATAATAATAAGATAAGATAATAATAATTCTGAACAAATAAACTGACATGCTATGTCAAAAGATGATGTGCGGATGCATCTTCACCACTGACGCCGATTCTCAGTCATATCATCTAGTCTCCAACTGGTGTTTTCAGTTGTCTACATTATTCTACATGGCTCAGAACAACTGTCAAAGACGTCATGGACTGATGCCATGCTTCAGTCTGGCTGCCTTTAATCATTTTTCACAATGATCATACCTCAGTCAACATTGAATAAAGAGGTAGACTGTCACAAGCCATACATGTCCAAGCCAGTTGAATTGATGCCAAGAACTCTACGCCTGACACTGACCTACCAAAGGTGATGGGGATCATAACGCACGATAAATGCAATGAATGCAAGAAGAATAGAACATCTGAGGCCCTCCCTCTCAGAGCAAATATTCACGTCTTTGGAGTCTTAAATCGACACCTTAGGTTTCTAAAAGACTCTGCATTTTTTGGACATTCTCACACGGCAAGATTATGTCATCTGTGTATCCTAGGTCTAAGAAAGAGTTTCCTATAACAAGGTCAACCTCTGTATAGTCAAATAAAGAGGAGACACTATATAGCTATGAGTTGGAAACCCAGAAATAAGTTCATCAGAGGTACTGGTGAATACTCTGTAAAACATTTATCTAGAAAAATAAAGTACCACACTATGGATATCGTCTTTCAATATACTGCGTGATGATTGAAAGTGAAATGAAAATTTGACCGCGGCTGTATACGGTCCAGTGACCATCGGGTTTTCGACCCATTGGTCTACCCATTATGAGCTACGAGGTTTGTGACTGCTGACCAGATGTCTATTTCACTTTAATCATGAAGGGTTTTGCTTGACGACTGTCATGCGAATTCATGGAACGTTACCATCGCTTGATTGTATTCAACACTGACTGCCCAACCCAGTCAAGACTTCTCATTCCAATACAAATGTAACTGAATCGGGGTGCGAGGGTGGGGGGTGGGTGGAGGAGCATCATACTGATTATCAGTTTGACTAGTTGAGATTGCTGCGGTTTGGCAGACTATTCATTGAAACTGGGTGATGACTGAAAATGAAATGACAATTTGGATAGCTATATTAAAATAAGATGAAATGAAATAGAATTGTTCTACACAACTACGAAAAAGCCTTAGAATATCAAATATTGTTTAACCTACAATGAGGTAATGCATTGTTATGAAGTGCAGCAGCTGGGCAACTGTTAGTCAAAGATGCCAGCGGATTCTGTACTGTTTGACTGGCTCCAGTAAGTGGATTGTGATGACTAACACCAATCGATGGATGGCTAACAATAGTATTCAAGTGTAGAGGGATAGAAGTTGGACGATTCACCTGACTCTCTGTTAACGGATTCATTCCAGAAAACTGTGGGTTGGCATACTGCATTGCAGCTGCCATAAATGCAGCAGCCATGGGATTAAAGTAAGCAGAGGCTGCCTGTTGAGTTACTTGACCTTGTTGTTGCTGCTGTTGCTGATGGTGTGAAGGTTGGACAGACGAATTCTGTAAGCCATTTGGAACTGGGCTGGCATTCGATGAAGCGGAAGGAATTAAACCGGACTATATAAGTGAAGAAACAATAGTAACATCCTATTAGGCAAACCTGAAGACATGAACACACTTTAATTCCACACAATAATAGTATGAAACTTACTGTAAGTTGAGATGTTGGAAACTGTAAAGAATAGCCGGGAGTAACAGAAGCTGCAGCAGCAAGTGACTGTTGAAATGCATTAGCTGCAGCAGCTGCTGCCGCCATATTAGACGCTTCAGTAAAACTAGTAACTGAAGGACGAAGAGATTGCTGCGTAAACTGTTGCACTGGTGGTGCATGCGGTGTTCCGTTCAAATGACCATTAGTTATGCCTATATTCAAGCTGTTAGCAGTATGTCCAGACGCTGGAGAACATGATCCATTCCCTGCACTGTGTTGCTGATGTTGTCGTCGAACTAGACGTTCTTTCTCAGTATCAGCAAATTTCACAACCAGCGGAGAAGAGGCTCCCTAAAAGTAACAACAATAGAAAAAGACATTTCACAACGGTGAAAAAAATTGTATCACTAAAAAACATCAGTTTCCAGTGGCTAAAAAACAATAGAACAAACATGAAACTATTGTTTACGGACAATCAGTGCCAGCCTGACAAAAAACGACATCCAGCTGAATTAGAAAAGAGGAGTTTCATACTGATTATCAGTCCGACTATTTGAGATAGCACCCATGATTAAGAAAACCTGTGTTATTGATACTGGGTGATGATTGAAAGTGAAATGTAAATCTGAGCCAAAGCGGGATTCGAACCAGCCAGTCAGTCAAACCACACTTATCTCAATCAAATTGTCAATATGATAATCAGTATGATGCTCCTCCACCCCACCCCCCACCCTCGCACCCCGATTCAGTTACATTTGTATTGGAATGAGAAGTCTTGACTGGGTTGGGCAGTCAGTGTTGAATACAATCAAGCGATGGTAACGTTCCATGAATTCGCATGACAGTCGTCAAGCAAAACCCTTCATGATTAAAGTGAAATAGACATCTGGTCAGCAGTCACAAACCTCGTAGCTCATAATGGGTAGACCAATGAATCAAAACCCCGTTGGTTGCTGGTTCGAATCCATCCACCTCCGGTCAATTCATTGACGAGTAGGAGAAGAGAGGGTTGAGACTTCAAGGTTTTAAAATCTGGGCTGACTCATGTAAACCTGGCTAATTACTTCATGCTTGGTCTGTGAACACTCAAAAACACCTTGGAAAATAGATAAACAAACACACTATATTATACAAGTGACAATCAGGATAACTGCCTTGTGTTGAATTACATCATTACGACGAAGTCCATCTAAGTAACTAATCAAAGAGCAGCTTGAACAATCAATCGATCTATTAAACACAGATGGCATCAGAAAAAATATCTCGACAAAGATGTCTCAAATATGTGAAATAAACAAGTAAACATACACGCATACACAACGTGGGACTCTATTTTATCATAACATCGAAATATTTAACAAATTTAAAGTAAAATCCACAAAAACAAAACATGTTGAATTGTATAACCATTTTATAGTACTAAATGACCAGTTAAACTCGACTGGTTAGCTAGTTCACTAGTTACTAGCCGGTCCTAAGCCCGGGTAAAGAGGGAAGGTCGGGCATACGGATAGCAACCCTACCACAGAAAACAAATATAACCGCTAAACAAACTTCAAAGCACAAACAAAAACAAAATTATTCCTCGCTAGAATCCAAGAGGAGAAATGACGCCAGTTGGTGAAAGCCTGCCATAAGGAAGCGAATTGGCGTGCCAATGTGTCTACTCTCTCTCTCCCTCTCTCTCTCTCTCTCTCTCGATGAAAGCAAAAGTAAACGTGGGACATGGAATGTCCGCACTGTTTCAACCCAGCAAGGCAACTCAGATTGCACACGACACGAGAAGGTATCACATTGAAGTGCTTGGAATTTGCGAAAGCAGATGCAATGGAAGTGGACTCTCAAAACTCTCAAGACGACAACCACGAGCAAAGCACACTCAGTTCTCCAGTGGCTATCATGATGTCCCCCTCCCAACAGCATCGAAGGCTCTCGTGAACTGGGAGCCAATCTCCTCCAGCATCAACATCAGCATCATAACAGCAAGGTTCAACTCAAAAGGAAGGAAGGTCACAATCACACAATGCTACGCTATGTACCCACAAATCATGCAGACCAAGAGAAAAAGGAGAAATTCTACAGATAACTGCCTGCATTCAACAGTGGACAAGACCTCAGGTGGAGACATCAAAATTCATTCTAATGGGCGACACGAATGCCGAACTGGGGGGGGACAACACAGGGACAGAACTACCCATGGTGCAAGAAGCCCTCAGTGGGGTGATGAACGAGAATGGAGAAGTGTTTGCAGAATTCTGTGCGGACATGCTCACACCACATCAATACCGCAGAACGTCTGGAAGGAAGGGAAGGTACCTGCACATTGATTGGAAGAACAGCTACCTAATCAAACTCCCAACAAGGGAGATCTAAGTCTTTGCAACAACTGGCGCCGAATCACCCTCCCGTCCCCGTCACTGGCCACCAAAACCAAGCAAAATATTAGGCCACATCATCCTGGAGAGACTAAACGATGCACTGGATTCAAAACTACGACCCGAACAGGAAGGCTTCAGGAAGTACAAATCATGTACCGACCAAATTGCAACACAACCCACACCACACATCATCATACAACAGAGTACTGAATGCCAGTCAACTCAACTCACTACCTCAACTTCATCAACTTCGAAAAGACCTTCGACAACATCGACCAACAAGTAATTTGGCAGGCAACTGCTTCAACACTACGGAATACCACAAACACTTATCAGCCTCATTCAACAACTATTTGAAGACGCCACATGCCAGCCAACTAATTCACAATGGAATACTCAGTGATGCTTTTGAAGTGAAGACAGGAGTAAGGCAAGGCTGTCTACTATCGACCATGATAATGCTGACTGTGGTCGACTGACTGGATCATGCAACAAACAGTGGGGAGCGAGAAGAGGGGATACGCTGGCTGGACCACAGAAAAGAACCTAGAAGACTTGGATTTCGCCAATGATGACTTGTGTCTGATGTCACACAAACTGGAAGATCTACAGGCGAAAACTAACAAGTTAACAGAAGAGACAGGGCAGCGAAGACAGGAATTCAAGTGAATATAGAGAAGACAGAGGAGGAGGTGATGAAGATAACCAACCAACAACAACAACAACAAACTCCAATATCCATCAATGGGAGAAACCAGTGTGGAGATCTTCTCCACTGCACTCCGCATGCGCAACAACATCTGGATCTTCAACACCAACCCAGTCATGTCAGTGCTTCCATGTGATGGTTCAGAGAATTGGCGAGTTACGAAAGGCATTTCCAACAAAGAACTGCAGACATTCATCAACAACTGCCACCTACGCTGGCTCGATTCTGAAGATCAGATGGATTGCCAGAAAGAATAAGCAACAAGGAACTCTGGCTGGCTGACTGACTGACTGACTGACTGACTGATTGACTGACTGACTGGCTGGTGACGAACCAACCAAGAAGCTATCGCTCAACAACTGAATGCAGTGGAAGGAAGTGGAGATGGATTGGAGTGAGCATACACTGAGAAGGCCGACTGGGGACATCACGCGTCAGGCCAGGCACTCGAGTGGAATCCAGATGGGGAGCGACGAGTTGGGCGTCTGAGGTGAGGGTGACATGGAGGAGATCATGTGAGGAGGAAATGAGAGCTTGTGGGCTGTCGTGGAGCCAGGTTGAAAAGATTTCAGAGAAGAGAGTGGAATGGCGACGTGCTACTGAAGCGGTATGTTCCATTAGGAACCCAAGGGACAAATAATAATAATATCACCAGCTAACGGAGAGTTGTTATGTGAATTGACGACAACTACTGGTATCAATGATCATGGATGCACCTTGTCACCGTTCCCATTTAACTTCGTCATAAACGTACCAGCGCAAATCACCTTAGATACATCTGACTACACAGGAATTGATCTACTTCCCTGGAGGTCATCTGGTTGGCTAAAAGTATGCAGATGACATTGTCCTGGCTAGGTGAAGACCCTGACAAAATACGTCGAGCAGAAATATCAGTATGTTTGACTGACAGGCGTTTTGTATTTGTCATATGTAAGATGACGCTTCCGGACTGGTTTGCAATTACTTCTAGTTTAGTAATGGTGAGTGAAGTGGTCCAATGCGTTGATTCCTTCACTTACTTGGGCAGCTGCACCACCCCCATCGAACGGGCAAGTTGCTGGGGAAATCTCAGCTCGGATATACGGGGAGGTAAACTGCATTAGATTGAAAGAAGACTTAGGGCGGTCAGTCTAAGATATGGCACCAGTACATGTAGTCCATGACTGTTGTTCTGAGCCGTGTAGGGAGGTGTAGAAACTACTTGTCTAGGGTTTCTTAGATAACATGAATCAGCTGTTGAAGACTTTTGGTAAAATAGCTGACATTTTCAAAAGCTTGAGTGTTTTCCCTAACCTTCCTTTTTAAATTACTTTTCTTCCCATAAATTCTCTATCTACCTTGGTAGTATTTTTTTCATCCACTTGTTGTTTTCCATGCTGCTGTGAAGTGAACCGATGCATTTGTATACAAGTTTCTACATGGATTCTGTCTTAGGAAAAACACAGAAACACAACAAGCACACAACCAACGTCACCAGTATTGGGTACATCAGAGAACACTCTGTCTCATTGTAAGATATCAACTCAACAGCCCACGTGCATCCCTCCCTCTTTCAGAAATGAAAAACTTGATTATAGAGGAAATAGCCACAAATGGTCAGCTGCAAAATGAGTGGCGGGAGAGAATATATTCGTCCTGGACTCCACACGGCTTAGCAAATAAAGCACAAAAATAATGTCGATATGAAAATCATGGAGATATCGAGATAACAGTACGAGAACGGTCATATTTCAGTGTACCAGTCAACTCCTTCATTTCGACAGGGTGAACAACTGGGGACTTATGAACCTAGAATTAAATACAGAACTATAATCTGAAGACTAGTCTACCGAAGGGCACCATCTTCAATAAGGGCGTCATCTGTTTATATCAAACATAAAAGAGCAATAAGGACACATAGTTCATTTTCTGTAACATTGAAAAAAAACCCGCATGAACAGCATGACAAAGAGGTCAGTTCATCAACAAAACAACCATGTCTAGAGGATTATAACCCACCCACCGAGACTATAACTCCATCATCTTACGTTTTACACAACACACCATATCGTTTGCATAAGCACATATGAAAAATACAATCAACAAGGATAGTGAAATCGGTTCAGATAGTCTTGAAGACAGCGTGTCATCCAGAAATGCATAGTATGTACATAACCACACAGTGAACAAACTGAATGTAACTGAACAACACACACATACAGTTGGTTCGTTTTATCGAACATTCTATCTGTTTAACTCGAACATCGCTTGACTGAGTTCGAATCTTAACAGCGGATATCAGTTCCCACGAGGTTTCAGATATGCTTTACTGCTGACGAGTGCCAAAAACCTACTACTAACATGCCCATCAAAGTTCACTAGCGCCTTGATAAGCCTCCTAAGCTGGGGGAGGAGCAAATTCCGCATAGACTGATAGAATCCGTTCAGCACTTAGGACTAATTAGATAACATGAAAGTGGTTCCTCTCCCTCCCTCCCTGTCTGTCTGTCTGTCTTCAGTGACCAGTCAACGTATCCAATAGCAAAACAACAAACAAATCCTACTTCAACACAATCAAAGTGAAATCATCAACATCATCATATTCCACACATTCAACTCACCTGCATAGTTTGACTGTTGTGAAGATGATCAATAGCGTTTGCTGCCTCTATACTCGATGAGAATTTGACAAAAGCACAGCCTAGGTGGAACAGACAAGAAAAATCGGTAGCAAAGAGAAGTTGATATGAAATACGCATATACATGCACACAATACACCTTCATGAAGGCGTAAAATAATCATCATGATGATGATGATTTAAAGCCTATGGATGAGATACAGCTAAAGAAATCGACTGGTCACTTATTAGACGAGTTTCCAGAAGACTTAATGAACTACAGTTTGTCGTTAGATAAATGTTATCACATCAATACTATGTCCATTGATTCTAGCAATGACGGAGAACAGTGATTTACGTATTGTGTTGTAGAATGCATGAGAATATTTAACCTGTTTAAATAAAGTGCATGCTTCAGTACTAGGCTATGGAGATATATGTTTTGTGACGGGGGCATCAGATACTACCCACTTACACTGATTGGTCACTGGAGTGTGGCCAGTCAGCTTGAGTGCTGACTGTATTCGTAGAACACTTGGGTAGATGTTGGTTAGTTGAAGCCAATCAGTGGAAAGCCCCCGTTTAACCTTGATTTAGTACTTCTTGGTGGTTATCAGTCTCTGTAACATCATGGGAACAAATGTACTCCTATGAGATTCACTCAGTACTGTAGTCAGCGACGTTACCACTGAGCCATTCAGGTCGCGATTAACCTCCTTTAGGATTGGATTAGATACGTTGATTGGTCATGCGAGTTCCATTTGCATCAAGTATTGGTATTAAATAAATGTATTCTCAAAATAAAGGTTAATTTTTCTTCCCAGTGGGCTGTTATCTGTTGACTCCGGCGTCCCTACCGGAAATGAACTCAATTTTATGCTCATACGATAACCGACAGCTGTGTAAACTGGTTGAAAACTAATCTTACCAACTATATCGATTACAGATAGCAGAAAAAGACTAGATTCAAAAACCTCAGGAAACATGAATACACTCAAGGTTTCGGATACAATTAGCTAATAAACACAAAACCATAGCTTCCTGTTGACTGGAACTTGATGTTTTCAAGGGGGGGGACTTTCATGCTGCCTAAAAGTGAAGATAACTGGAAACAGACTTAAACAGAGCAGAAAGAATACGCTCCTTACATGAACTGAAACACTGAAGTTTAATATAAATGCCATATAGAATGAATGAATGTAATTGGATACTCGAAGGGATACTGCGTTGAAGTTTGTCCTGTCCTATTATACGTCTATGGGAAATGGCTAATAAAAGTGGAAGACATTAAGTGACTACAGATTTTCGATCACTGATATCTTCTTAGCATTGCTCATTTTCGATGGAATCACTGTATGCATAATATTGAGATAAGGCGAAGGGTACTAAGCAAGAGACGAAAGACAATTTCATGAAGTTGTGAACTTTAGTAGAGTGAGGTGGCTTAAACATGTAATCTGCATCCTTGGGTTGAAAGAAGTTTCAGGGTGGTCAAACCAGGACATGGCACCAGTCGATAAAATCCCTGACTATTGGTCTCAGCCGTGTGAGGAGGTGTAGACTCCCCCAAGACGATAGGAATCAGTGGTTAGTTGGCTGAAGATTGGTGACAATGGCGTAGATGTATTCACTCCTTGATGTCTTCTAAAGCTTGAATATTTGCAATGGCCATCATCTTCAGATTGTTTATTCCCTCACACATTTTTGTCCACTTTGATATCAGTCTTTTCCTGTCCACCTGTTTTTTGTATACCATTGTAAATTGTGGCAACTTGAGCCGATGCACTAATGTGTGAGGTTCTGCTTTGATTCTGTCCGTCTGTTATACTTAGCAACCACATGCAAATTTCTGCAGTAGGCAACGAGCTAAACACTTATTGTATGCTGCATAATGATATGACCTGGCTGTCCATACCTTGGGAGGTGGAGTGGTGTTCAAAATTATGACCCACTTGACTGAAAACCAACACCATAAAACCAATGAGACAAAACTCCACTATTCCATACTACACTTCCCAGGCACATATTTGTTAGTGGGAATGGTTCAAAGCATTACTGGTGTCCGTAAGTATGGTATGAGGTTTGCACCATTGAAGTGCAAAAGCACTTTTGCAAGATTCACAGGAGCCTGTGTCTGCGCTCACCTTTGGTGGCCAGCCGTTGGAAGTAATTAAAACGTTTGTCTATCTGAGTAGTTGCGTTAGTGCTGGTGGAGGTGCGAGTGTTGGAATTCTCAACCGTACATCGAAAGGCAGAGCGGCATACGTCAATCTGGGCCACCTTTGGCGCCATCATGACGTTAGTCTAACCGTATAAGGTCGGGTTTACAATGCTTCGGTGTGACCAGTTCTGCTCTACGCCTGTGACACTTGGTCTCTCCAAGCTGAGGATGTGGGACGAATTTATGTGTTCGATGGTCGTTGTCTCCACATAATTGCTCGTATCCGGTGGCAACGCCATGTAAGTAATTGAGGTACGACAGCGTGTGTTTCTACATGAAGGAGATTATCATTCAATAAGTGAAGTCATCTGGAAACACCAGCTTCAACGGCTTCAACATGTGTTACGCATGCCGTTTCAACAGCTTTCAAACCGTTTATTGTTTGCTGGCCCTGGGATTGGACGGAAGAAGTGGGGGGGTAGTCAGTGTTTGATGTAGCACCGTGGGATGAAGGATAGTTGTATCGGGTTAGCATCTGTTGCTGCATCGTCTCCCTGGGTAGGGTCTGAGAAGTCACGCAACTCAGTGGCTTGAGACGTTATTAGATATGGCTCAGAATCGAAACCAATGGCGGTCATGCTGTAGCTTCCTTTTACCTTCCGCTGCTGAAAAGTAAAGAATGCTTCGTTTTGAATGCACCTTACTGGACTGCCCTTCTAATCATTCTATTCTTATTGTTTTTTTCTTCTTATCCACCTCCCTTCGCTTTATGTCTTCATAATGTTGTTATATTATTTTGTGTGGTACATTTCTTGGTGCCCTTGCTGTATCATGTTTGCATTCTAATAATAATCACTAAGTAAATGATAGTTTGCAGAGGTGAACCGACTCCATTCAACATTTTCCGTCTGCCAAGTAGATAGCAACGAGATGCAATTCACAGTCGAGTACATCAAAATAAACTCAGCAACCATATACACGCTCGTTCAGTAGGCTTTGAACTACACCTATTTTATGTGTGTATAACCTGGTTGCCCAAAGTTCGATCATAAGAACGGGGTTCGAACCTATAAACTACTGATTAGAAATTCAGTGTCTAGAGTCATAATAAAATTGTAGAATATAGTTGAAATGCATCAAAGATGTATAAAATAATTCATTGAGTGCATGACAGATAAGATGGTATACCTTTACTCATTCCACTCTGATCACGTAGTATTGTACACTCTTCAATTAATCCATATGGGGCAAACATATTTTGTACTTCCTCTTCTGTTTGATGCTTTCCTAGCATACCGACAAACAATTTACGATCTTCTGTGAAATTGAATATTGGAAAATCAAATGATGAATAAAAAAACACTGATAATTAAACGTCGATTACAACACTATGAGTAACAGGAATATATTGAAATTTGTCTAGATATATTACTTCGATAGAGAATTTCATTCAATCAGTACAGTCAAGACAAACTTTTGATAACAAAACGGTATACTCTGAATTCATGTCAACAACAGTTGTCATCTTTAAAGCATACAATACATATTTCTAGAGCTCTACTCCAGTATAACTATCCGAAACCCATCAGGTCTAACGTCGACCACATTCTCATTTAGTCATAGGGTCGAAATTCAGTGATTCACCAATTCCTACTACTGTCTATGTGTGATAATATAGCACAACCATCATCTCATTCTCGACTTGGTTGACCCAAAAAGTCACAACTTTTCATTTGAGCTTTGGAAAATCTATCGCTGTTGGAGGTTTGTCTGAATAGATTGATATCAACGTGCGGTAATGCTTATTCAACATGGAATAGAATAATTCTTCACCATACGTTACGTGAACAATTTTCAATCGGACACAATAACTTGTCGGTACCAGTTGGCACATCTATCCACCTAGCTGATAGACTGGTGATGGACACAAATGGTGAACTGTATTAAAAGTAGTCGAAATCGAAACTATGCCGGACTGTTTGGCGATGGGCAACTTTAAAAGCCATCCTGTCAACAGCAATAATAACCAATCAAATTTCGGTATTCCGGCCAGAAAGGTAGTTTTTCATAAAACATCGAAATCTAATTGGTTATCTTAGCAGTTGCTAGGTTGGTCGTTAAACTCACTTTTTGTAATTGAAACATTGATTTTCGTATCAACCTTGAGTGACCACTTATTTATTTACCAGTGATCGATCGTGAACAAATTTAGGAAGGAAAACATGAATTAAGCATGTTGCCTTTTGTACCACATACAGCTCAAGTATGATAAGTTCGGGAGATTTTAAAGGCCACCTAAACAACTGCTGAGATAACCAATAATGTTACTTCATTTCAGAAATAACTACCATCCCAGCTGAGATACTGAAAGCGGATTGGCTATCTCAGCAGTTACTAAGGTGGCCCTTAAAGTCGCTCATAAATTCCAAGGGACTTTGAAGGCGACCCTAGCAACAATCGGACTGACTAACTAGGCGTCTCCATTTCAGCTAAACAGGCAGATTCTCATAAAACAAAGAAGTCTGATTGATTATGTCAGTTGTTGATAGTGTGACCTTTGAAGTCGCCCTAAATTCCCGCATTGATTAGTGTAGAATGAACTCGAGGGAGAGAGAGACGCGCCTCAAAATCAATGAATTAGGCCTTTCCTAACCCGTTCAAGATCAACGTTTCAACATATAATGTAATGTCGTCTCTGTATGAAATTGTTTCAAGTAACAATTCGAGTGACTTTGAAGGCTACTCTAGCAACAAGTGACATAACCAGACTTCTGTATTTTATGAGAATTTATCTCCAAATGCTGAGTTACATTTTTCAACCAACTCCATTGTAAAAAATAATCCCATTAATTCGACTGGGTGGTATCCTCTATCTTGATATACAAGTAAAGTGAGTAACAGACCCCTAAACAACTCCAAATCAGATTACTGTAATCATTATATTGTAGTATATTTAGCAGCTATAGCAGTGGAATCCAAAACGGGCATTACGCTTCAAACGCCAACAACAATGACTGAATACAGTTTAGCTAGAACAGTCTCGAACTCAGAAACAAAGCAGAACGAGGATATAAAGTAACCTGTGTAAATAAAAGCCGTAGAAAGTAAATACAATGCAATATGCCTCATTTTTACGGCAAACGAACGACAAAAATGATTTGTAAACTTGAAAGATGTGTGTGTGTGTAAAAACATCCACCTCCTCGCCAATGCAACTCACAACCTGATGCATAGCATATGTTTGCGCCCCACTGTGTACAGTCTTATGATACTACGCAGTCGTTCAGGTCGATGTAGGTGGAGCGGAGTTCGAAACAGAGATATACTTGTTGAAGGTCGAGTCCCTAAGCCTTCTGAGGGAATTGACTTAATAAGCAAGATGGCTATAGCGTTTTACTTTCCACCTTTATAGACCGTTATTTTGTGAAAAGTGGATACAGACAGTTTTGTACAATGTCCAGATCGATCTTTCTCCCGTTTAGATACAAAGGTTGGAGAAGTCTAACTGTCACTTTACAAGATTTAAACTATACATTGAGGTTGCAGAAAATGAAATTATGCTTGTAAGGAGCTTCAGTCAAAGATTAAAATATTGGTTGCAGATTTTACAGTAGCGATGAGGACGAACACCGCAGTCAGCAATGCTGCTGAACCACTTGATCAGACCCGCTCTATAGCTTGCAGTTCGATTAGTCTGAATTTATACATCTTATAAACCAGTTATATGTATTGCGTGATAACCGCCTATATGTCAGTAAGTGGGGAAGAAGCTGGAATCCTTAATCCACCAGTCAATAGTCAGTTCCCTGAATCAACGAGTCACAAGTACTGTAAAGGGTTAGATTGATTACAATAGGAATTATCACCTGTCTAACAAAAGTTATAATATCGAAAGTATGAAAGAGAGAGAGAGCAATGCTGATGACAAATATCAATGAAGAATAACTAACAGATGGTTGAATACTTCACATGCATCATCGATGAATTCAACTATGAGTTAGTCGAAAATATCACTCAGAGTTTGGGCTACCACCAGTTGACTTAACAACTTGATTCGATCAATAGTGGTATCATTTATCAACAGTGTAGTAGTGGTTCGGAATCCACTCATCACACCAACCACTTGCACATTTGTGGATGCTACTGGTCTGAATGGATATAAGTAGTATATGTTGAGAAGTCGGCAGAAATTATAGGAAATTACTAGCGATGGGTATATATTCTGCCCAGAGGAAAGTAAGAGACAATCTGAGCGTGTTAAGAGTAAGTCATGATGGAAGCAGAAGAGGAGATGAAAGACATTGTGCAAATGACTATTTAACACAAGGTGTACAAGATATCACAATAAACCATTCCTTCTTGCGTCTCAGTCTTGTCGTTTCTTACAGTAGGACTAATTATACTACCTGGCTTTTCAAACCTCGGCAAGGCTAGTAGATGAAGGCTTTGAACGGATCTCACTGGTTGGAAGCCAATGAGGTAAACAGTGAGGCACAGCTCCACTGCAGCAATAGTTATAAATTTTGGATATATGGAACACAGGATACCATACAAACACTGGTCACTACTAGATAATCAACTTTTTGTTGTCTAGTCCAAAAAGAGAACACTGTGAATTTGACTAACTAGACTATATCTCTCTTGCAACTGTGACAAAATAGTAAAACACGGAAAGAGAGAGAGTGAGAAACAGTTTATCATCGTATTCAGTTGATGCTTCATGCTTCAACGTTCCGAACAAACATCATTAAAAATACATGACGAGTAAATACATGTACATATGTATATATCAACGATATGTCTTGCAGACTTGAGGAAACACGTTTCAACATGTCTGTCTAAACATGAGCATGCCTGTAGAAACACACAAACACGCGCACACGCGCGACCGCCTTGTAGACTAACCAACACATCCTCTGTTGTGTACATGAAGGAAGACGGATGGCAAGGAAAGAGAATTACAACAGTCATATATATGTGTAAGAAAAAGTTGAGTTTATCATAAATCAAGAAACAGATAAAATCAATGCAAAACAGGAAGGATACTTGGCATATACAAATTGACTAACCAACCAACGAGCTAAACAGGGCAAAACACCAGATTAAATCTCACAGTCCCTATTTATTTTTTTTATAAAAACCTACATGTTAGAGTGAATTTGTTTCGCTTGTCTTTTCTTTTTCTGCGCCACACTGTTTTCCCCTATCCAACTTTAATTATTTTTATGCGTTTGATAGCAATGGGAATAGTAGAAATTCATGATGTGGCGAAAACCACTACCACCACCAACAAGAGAAGATAATATAATTTATAATAAACCTCAAAGCTATGAGAATACGACGGACAGGAAACTAACGCCAACACAACACCTCCCACAATCATCATCAAAAGTCGGAATCACAGCTATGCTCCATAAATCACTTAGATATCGCTACACATGCATGGCCTCGGACACACACACACACACACATGAAACGTGTACGATAGTCATATACATACATATACACTGATTGATGATAAGCTGACATGGAGAATAAAAAGGGGAAATGTTGTTTGTCTGTATACACCTACCTACATTATTACCATCACCTTATTATGAATACTATTATCATTATTTATTACATATAAAATCAATAGGACTCTGTCTCAAAATTTTAAAAACAACTGGAACAGCTTTGTAGCTAGGCGAGAATTTCTCCCATCTTTAACGAACCACTCTCTATACACAGGAATGGTCACAATTTAGTAGAATCAATACAAACAGTCAGTTAATAATAGTGACTAGCAGTGGAATCCAGGACGCGCGTTTCGTCCCATTTGGGACCCGTCAGCTGGATGTATCCACCTCATAGCGGCTGGTATTGGCCCCGTTAGGACTCGAACCCAGGGTTCATCGCCTCAAACCATACAATACCCGTCATACATGCAGTGGCTATCATGACTTAATGACCTAGTGGATAACGCTCCAGTATTCGAAGTGATTGGTCTTGGTTTCAAGTCTTAGTAAGGACATCACTTACTGAGAGGCAGATACATCCAGCTGAAGAGTCCCAAGTAGGACGAAATGTCCGTCCAAAGCTAGCCACTATTCACCGCTAATTTAAAATTTGAAAATACCAATAATATCGAAGCATCTGCACAGGAGCCAATATGCTAATAGTGACTGATCATTTTGGTCGAATCGACGACGGAGATTCACAAGTGATAACATCAAAAGTATAAACAATTAGAAAACTTTAGAAAACAAATCACCCAATATGTACAGGTCGGAAGACTAGACTATGAGTCATACATATTTTATAGCGAGTTAATA